CCCCCCAACTCTCCCAGCCTGTCCTCCCAGCAGAGGGGCTCCAGCCCTCCCAGCAGCTCCGGGGCCTCCTCTGGCCCCGCTCCACCAGGTCCACGTCTCTCCTATGTTGGGGGCTCCAGAGCTGGAGGCAATACTCGGGAAAGGACGCTTTTTCCCCTCCCAGCACAGGGATCTGCCATCCACTTCCCAATTCACAGCTGACTCTGCTCACCGTCCCTTCCGACCCGCTCTGGAGCCGAGACGGCGAGGTGAGCACCGCACGGGCTGTGGGAGCAGCCAGGCCCCGCTGCTCTGTCCCAGGAGCTGCGCCTTGGGACGTGTACCCAAACGAGAACAAGAGTCGCAGCGGGTAACGAGGACGAGCCCACCCTTCCCCACGGGCTGACAGAGCTTTCCTGCATTCCCACCTCTCGGCACCACTGTTCTCTCACACCTCTCTCGAATCTGCTCACCTGTTGACTTCCGAAACGTTGTTGACCTTCGCCGCTTCCAGCAGAGCATCTTCTGAAAACAAGAGAAAGAAGAGGAAGCGGAGTTAGCAGCGAAACGCAACCCGCACCGTAACAACCCGGAGGTGGCACAGGCCGCTACGGCAGAGAAGGCAGAGCCTGCGCTTACAGCTCTCACCAACCACCACAGGTCAGGAAGGAGCGGGACACTCCAAAATCCCTCTCTTGCTGCCTTACCGCAGCCTCCCTGCAAGCCCCGGCGCTGGGCTCTGGGGAAGGCAGGACCGAGCAGCAGTTGTCAAAGCGCGGCCGCGAGCACCGCCATGGGAACCCCTGCGCAAGCTGAATCCCCGGCCTGGCTGCACAGCTCCCTTCCTCGCCTCTCCCGGCCCAAACACAGACGTTCAACCAGCTGAAACTGCAGCTCCCTGCGTGCCGCACGGCAGCAGGAGAGACCCCCCCCACCCCGGGCAGCACCTCCGCGGACGCAGCCAGGGATGTGCATCGCTCCTCCCTGGGAAACCAGTCTCTCCCAGCCTGCCAGAGATCACCCACCTCCGCAGGAAAATACCTTTGCTCGCAACTTGCGAGCGCTGCCAGTCTCTGGCTCGGAAGGTGCCACTGGCCAAAAAAAAAAAAAAAAAAAAAAAAAGGCTGGAGAGGAGGGGAAGGGTCCTGCTGGGGCACCCGGGGCTGGGGGCAAGCCAGCAGCTGCACCAGCGAGGAATAAACTGGGTCGAAAACTGGAGAAACAAAGTCTTTTCTCCCTGTCTGCAAGGCTAACCCTGCGAACGGCGGGCTCCGGGGTGCAGCAGGCACGGCGGGACGACGGGCAACATCACCCCGGGGCAGCCACAGCCTCGGCCAGAGGTGTCCAGACGCCATCGCAAGGCCACCAAACTCCTTCGGCAGGCTCAGAATGACACCTCCTGGATGGAGAGGGTAAGGACAGCACCCCGACTCTCGACTCTTAAAAAAGCGCAGAGCCGCTGGTCGTTCCAAACCAGCGCAGCCAGCAAAGCTGTACTGGGGCATTTAGGGGACGATTTGGGGCATTTGAGGACAATCCTCCCTAATTCTCACCAGCCTTCAGGCGCCTCCTGCTCTCTCCCCAACACTTTGTGCCTCGTTTCTGCAGGTTATTTGTGCCCGCGGCTCAGCCTTCTGCCTCGCGTCTTTAACCTGCCTTCCCGCAGAGCACCTCTGTCCCGTGTCCCCATCCCCTGCTCACGGGTCCCTCTCTCGGGGCACAGACACCCACCAGCGATCACGGCTCACCCCAGCAGCCAGCTTTCTGCAGGGGTTCCAGCTGCGCCACAAACCCCAACGGAGTTTCCTCCGCTGCCCCGACGGGAACAGCGCTCAGCGCGCTGCAGGGAGCTATTTGGGCTGACGGATGTTTGGTCCATCCAAAAAAAAAAAGAGCTTGTGGTCTTAGCAGGAAAGCCGAGAGCCGTGGGCACTGCGGTTTTACCTGGGCAGCGTGCTGTCTCGAGGACACGTCACCAGGCTGAGCGTGTCAGGGGGAGCAGAGGGTGTGTTTATGTGTCCCCCCCCGGGGGATGACGGCTGCTCGCTGGCCCCAGCGCCGCAGCAGAGCACCGGCAGCGCGGGCCACTCGGCTCTGCCCGAGACACGGGGTACGGCCCAGGCAGCTGGGGCCAAAGGACCGGTGGTGTCGGAGTTAGCGAGCGTGCGGCCACCGCAGCCTGGACTCAGGGCCAGCACGGCGTCCTCCTCCCAGCCACAGAGACGCAGAACGGTTTGGGTGGGACGGGACCGTAAAA